CACGACTTGACCAGGTAACGGCTCTGTGGAAATCCCTGCCATTGACGGTACAGGTAATCCGGGGACTGGCTGAGGAAATTGCGGCACGACTTGACCAGGTAACGGCTCTGTGGAAATTCCTGCCATTGGCAGTGCAGGTAATCGAGGAACTGGCTGAGGAAGTTGCGGTAGTACAGGAACGGGACCATATTGTTGTGGAACTTGGCTGTATAATGGTCCTGCACGAGTTTCCACCATTTGCATTTCGGGCTGTATTGGATATGGCTGAACAGGCACCGGCTCATATTGTTGTGGAACTTGGCTGTATAACGGTCCTGCACGAGTTTCCACCATTTGCATTTGGGGTTGTACTGGATATGGCGGAATTGAAAGCGGCCCATATACAGGAGATTTTATAATTTGTATCGCAGCTTGCTGCGGAAGTGGAACAGGAACAGGTCCATATTGTTGAGAGACTTGGTTATAAAGATGCCCGCCAGGAGCTTCTATCAACTGCATTTCGGTCGACATCAACTGTATTCCATGAGGCGGAAAAAATGGTGCAGCTGGTGGGTGCATGTAACTCATAGTTGGTCCAGCTTGCACTGAACCTGCCGTAGAGACTTCTTTCAGGTTTTCGTTTTTTATGGCATCTGGAACTTTTGCATCTACTTCTCGCATTCCTACAGCACTTTTAGTTGCTCCTTCTTGTGCCTGTACAGGAGTTCCAGATGTTCCTTCTTGTTTCTGCACAGGTATTTCCTCTTGGTCTTTCACCGGAGTTCCGAGTGTTGTTCCTTCCTTCTGTACCGGAGTTTTAACTGTTTCATCTTGTTTCTGAGCCACAGTTCCAGTTGTTTCTTCTTTCTTCTGCACCGCGGTTCGCACTGTTTTTTGTTTCTTCTGCGCAAATGCTTCTCTTTGCTCTTGAATCGGGGTTCCAGTTATTTCTTGCTTCCTTGCAGGTGTTCCCTCTTCCTCCCGGACCGGGGTTCCCACTATTCTTTGTTGTTTGTGCTCAACCGGCGTTTCAGTTATTTTTTCTTGCTTCCTTGCAGATGTTCCTTCTTTCTGCAACGGGGTTTCAGTTGTTCCTTCTTGCTTCTGCACTACGATTCCAATTGTTCTATTTTGCTTCTGCACTGGGATTCCAGTTCTTTTTTGTTTCTGTGTTGGCGTTCTTTCTTGTTTCTGCATCGTGGTTCCAGTTATTCTTTCTTGCTTTTGCCCAGATGCTCCTTCTTGTTTATGAATTGGGATTTCAGTTATTCTTTCTTGCTTTTGCTCTGGAGTACCAGTTACTCTTTCTTGCTTCTGCGTCGGAGTCCTAGGTATTCCTTTCCGTTTCAAAACCGGAATTCTAGTTGTTACTTCTTGCTTCTGACCATGAACTCCAGGTGTTCTTTCTTCCTTGTGCACCGGAATTTTAGTTGTACCTTCTTGCTTTTGCACCCGAGCACCAGGCGTTCCTTCTTTCTTTTGTACCAGAATTTTAATTGTTTCTGCGCTTTCTTGTTTCTGCACAGGTATTGATTCTTGCCTCTGCATCGCATTCCCAGTTTTTTCCTGTTTCTGCGTGGGAGTTCTTGTTATCCCTTTTTGTTTTTGATATGAAGGCCCAATTCTCCATCCTTGCTCCTGACCTGAAATTTCAACTGTTCCTTGTTCTCTTCGCCTGAGGGCCCTGGTAGTTTCTTTCTTCTGATCAGGAGTTCTAACTGCTCTCTCTTTCTTCCGCACAACAGTTTCTCCTTTTTCTTTTGATGTAGAAGTTTTAATTGCTCTGTCTTGCTTCTGCGCAGAAGGTCCAGCTACTTTTTTTGGTTCCTGCTCCGGAATTACCAGTGTTGCTTCATGTATTTGCTGAGAAATTACAGCTTCTTGTTCCTGTTTTTGCCTTAAAGTTCCAATTATTCCTTTCAATTTCTGTACGGAAGTTACAGCTGCCTCTTTTTTCTCCTGGTTAGCAGTTCCAGGTATTTCCTCTTCCTCCTTCACAGAAGTGCCAGTCCCTCCTTCTCGTTTCTGCAGTGACGACATCACTGCCTCTTTTTGCTTCTGAGTATCACTTTCAATTGCTTTTTCGTGTTTTTGTGATGAAGTTTCAGTCGCTCTTCTTTGCTTTTGATCTGAAGTCCCAACAGTCTGCTTCTGTGCATAAGTCCTAATCGCTTCTTTTTCCTCCTCGGCAATAATTTCATGTTCTTGCTTCTGCTCGAAAGATCTGTTTGCCATTTCTTGTTCTTCTTTGGGAATCCCAACCATCTCTAAAATACGATAAAAGGTGAAAATATTCAATCACCAACACTTTGAAAAAATAAAAGCAGACAAAATTATGGACATCACTTGATTTTACGACACTATTTATCATTTTCATACATTACTGCTCCAATTTTGAAAAGTGGGCTATACTATGCTACTACGTACTACATCTTACTCTTGGCTATTTCTAGGCTTTTCTAGGCCATAAGTCCGTGTGGAAAGTTTTGTGAAAGTTCTGCTCCAGTCTAACATGCAAATCACGCTTGACCTCGTCAGGATATTTCTTTTGAATATAACCGGAGATAAAAGTAGGTTAAAAAATCAGAGAGCAGAGAAGGCCTCATATGGTCTACCTATTACATAAGTAATATGTCAATTTGGATTAATATAGCTTACTACTTCCTACCTACTATTACTAACCTTTTATCGATAAAAGGTATCAATTATCCACAAAGCCACCTATTTCAGTCATTCTTTGAACATTCCCGAGAAGAGAATATTATCACTGCACAAAGGAATATATGATAACCAAAATGCCACTCGCTATGGATGCAGTGCGTGATCTTTCAATGACCGCACCATTTCACATCTTATATAGCTGTATACAGAAAGATGCTTCTAATGCCAACCCCTGACTGGCAGATCAGATTATCAGAAAAATTTGAATGAAGAGACAAATAAAACGGCAGATCAGTGACCATCATTTACACGGCTAGTTTATGCGAGACACAGAAAATAGCCTATTTCTGAAAGGTTGAACTTTGTTTAAATTTCACTCTATGAAGAAATTAATAAACAGTCAATTATCGATCGCTACAAAGTCTAGCAATATCAATTTCGGTACCAAATAACTCAAATAATTTCTTCTCTTGAATTTCTGAGGACTTCAATTAAATTTTCTTGGCAAAAAAAAGCAATCAGCGTGAGGTAACACATCCAAAATATTCCAGATAGTGATAATATTGATCGGTACTATTTGTAGTAAAATTACCATAATGAGGCAATATCCATATACTTGAGCTCTTTGACAGTGCGAGGATCTTGAAATGATTATTTGAAAGCATTAATTTTCCTTTATGAAAAACTTGTTTGCACCAGAATATTCATTTCATTTGGTTGCATAAATTCTAATCACTCTAACTATTTGTCACTTTCTAGTTGAATTGCTTTTTAAATAAATGGGATGTTGTGGGAAAAATGATTTCAAGCACCTTACCTCACCCTTTACATAAACTGCTTTTCAAGTATTTTAAAATGCTTCCAAGCACTTTCATATAATCAACCTTGCTATTAATTTATAGTACAACTACTTAACAAAGTGAACTGAAAAATGACATAATTCTAAATTTCTCGGCAAACTACTGGGCCACCATTAGTTCAAAAACAACACCTACCTTGAAAAATTAGATTCTATGGGTTCAATTGGTTCAATGAAGTATTGGAATATTATTCTAAGTAAAGAAAACATAGCAAGTAAAAAAAAATCCCTGGGGAATTCGATGTATTCAGTAATTAATTCCTAAAGATTAGAATTCAAATAACTAATCCACAAAGACTAAATTATGTTTTCAAATCATAATATATTTCATTTACTTTACCTTTTGTCTGATTTGTTTAATCATTTTCTTCACTTTTTTTTAAAGCTGTCTTAGATTTATTCTCTTCCTATTTTTGTTGTGCAAAGAATTGGTTTTTTTTTTTTTTTTTTTTTAACTAGAAGGATCTCACTGTTATGATTAGTGTTTTGTCTTTACGGCAAATCAACAAGGAAACTCGTTCCTTTGATTAATGTAATAAATTTAACAAAATACCTGTGCAAAGAAATTGTCCAACATTGTAATTGTATTGCTTTCGTCACTCCATCAAATATTTGGTAATTGAAGCCATTTCTCTTTGCTCTATCAATCGAGAAAATTGACATTACATATCGATTAATTTTACGAAAAGATCACCTGATTGTTATTGATTTTTCCCGAAGGATCTGTCCAGTGTAGCTAGTTGGCCCTTAATTTTCCTCGGAGATGAGAAGATTTAATCGATTTTTTAGCCGAGGACGTTTATTTTGTTCAAATATGATATCTACTGGC